TATTTAAATTTATTTAGAATTTTGGCATATATAAAAGTTTTTATTGATTCTAAGTAATGCTTAAGCGTTGAAATTATTATCATTTACTTTTTGTTATGACTGCAGCCTGTCCCAATTAATGCTGCCATGATGTTGAGGCTGAGATGCAAGTGCAGGTTCAGCTTCATCAACTTAATTACCAAAGATTCCGAAAATAGCAACCTGGGTACGCTTTTAAGATTGAGGTTTATTCAACCTGCGTATCTTTACCATCTTTAATTTCATCATAGTACTTTTCCTTACATAAAACGTTCCCACTGCACACAGGGAACGTTCTTATAGTACCCTCAGTACACGTTCAGAACGTTAGTTGTGAATAAGTTCGGTAAAAAATTTAAACATACATGAATTGTGTTTTATTACCTTATTGGTGTACTTTCCTTACACTTATAGTGAGGCAACACTTTAAACAGTTAAAGAGATACATGTTTTCAAGGAGACGATTTGTTGACTCACTAGAAATTCTGTAATCTCAATATTCAATCAACATTCCAGCTGAATAAAGATATATTTTTGTAACCCATTTCAGAATTGAAAGAACAAAGTTCTCACCAATCCGTTAGTGTTTTAGTTGGTTCGATTTACTTTTGAAACGATGGCCTATATATTTCTCCCTAGATTATTCTGTCAGTTGAGGTTATTCCGAAGACCGCTGACGCCATTCAATGCATTCCGAAAAGTGAATTTCAACTAATTAGCGGAATTTTAATTTTGACCATAACTGTTTTTGATACAGATATTCAATGCGTTCCGAAAAGTAAATTTCAACCAATCATACGTTTAACCATATCTAGTTTTGGTGCAGATATGCTTTTAGTAGATATAAAACAGGGAATAATGAACTCTTTTAGCAAATAAAAAAGGATTGGATCGGGGTTCTGTTATTCACATGATTTGTATTCCTCTCCCTATTCTTGGATTTTTGGTGGTATTTTCCGACCCAAATGGTTCACCACAACATTTATCTTTATATATAGTATAGTAATGGTATATAGTATAGTAAGTAAGATATCTTATAAGATATATAAGACATCTTGTATTATATTTGAGATATCTTATTCAATATGAAGTTGATAAGATATCTTATGTACTTGAAAGGATATCTTATATACTTGAAAAGATATCTTATATACTTGAAAAGATATCTTATATACTTGAAAAGATACTTAATATACTTTAAAAGATTTCAATTAAATTTATAAGATATATTGTAAACTTCATAAGATATCTAATACAGTCTAAAAGATATCTTAATATATATTTTTAAAGATATCATTTAAACAAATGCTTTAAGAGATATCTTGTAAAGTTTATAATATATCTTTAAGAGTATATAAGCTATCTTATTTATTTTATAAGATATCTTAGTTAGTTTATAAGATATCTTATTTAGTTTATAAGATATCTTATTTAGTTTATAAAATATCTTGTAACCAATACATGATATCTTATATGATTGATTTATCAGATTTCTTATTTAATATATAAAATATCTTCTCTAATATACAAGATATTTTATCTGATAAATAAGATATCTTATTTAATATATAAGACACCATTTTTAGTTTTAAATATGTCTCTATAAGTTTATAAGAAATCTTATTTAGTTTTTAAGATATCTCATTTAGTTTTTAAGATATCTTATTTAGTTTTTAAGATATCTTATTTAGTTTATAAATTACCTTATTTAACAAACAAGATATCTGATTTAATATATAAGATATTTTATAAACTTCAGATTAAAGAAGATATTTCTTGAAGAATACAAGATATCTTATACACTTTATAAGATATCTAATTCAGTTTATAAGATATCTTTAAAATTAAATATATATAAGTTATCTTTACCACATAGTCCGTTCGACCCGGCAAACCTTAGTCAAAGGCCCATCATTTGTACCTAGTATGGACAAAGCTTTGCCGTAGCGATTTAAAAAAAAAATCAAAATTGAGAGGGTGTAGTATCGCGAGACCAAAACTTTGAACCAATAATGCCTGCCTTCGTTAGCATACCTTGGCCCTTTTGCAAGACAGACTTGGGCCACTGCCTATCATTTGTACCTAGTATGGATGAAAACTTAGACATAAGGATAGTTTTGTACTTTCTCGAATGAATTTAAAATTATTTATCGATAAAAGTTATTACCTATAATTTTTTCCCATATATTTATTGAAGGCTTATAATTTATGTACACAATCTATATTACGATTTTTAAAAAGTAAACACCATTTCAATATAAAGAAAAGAAGGATATGGGGTATTCCTCAAGGACACAAAATCAGTACATGCACAGCAAAAAAACACAAGAAAAACCTTTTCCTGTTAATTTTAAGAAGGAAGTAGACAAAACGGAAGAACAGGAAGTACTGTTCCTTTGCTTTTGATATCTTTTTTTAGTTTTAAATAGAAATAGAAAAATAGACAATGGTACTAGTATAAATATTCTTTGTCATAACCTTGAAGAAGATTGAAATATTTCCTTCTGCCGACTAGGACGAGAACGAACTGCTTCAGCTATCGCCACAGCTAAGTCACTTGTGTGTATTTAAGTCTCATTGTTCAACACCTCTTACAGAACTTATAAGATATATAACAAGTACTTACAATCTTGCCATGGATTGGAAAAGAAAGAATATAGAACTATTAAATGCGGAGAGAAACAGTCCCGTAGTCAGCACTTTTCAGTGTTGACAAGAAACATCATTTCTGAAAATTAACTGTTTATAGAATGTAAAAAAATTGAAGACTAAGGTTTTCTACCGTAAGGCATAGATTACTATAGTTGTATTTGGCACAGCGTTTAGAAAGAAATTTTAGGGTTTCAGTGCTCTTCAGTTTCGTATTTGATTGGACGTTCTAACAGTTTTGATTCGAGCGCTACTGAAATTCTTTGTCACGTGCTAGATAATGTTTGCCATGTTATTCGTAAGTCCTATTAATCGATTTTCGGTAGGAAGAAAGACAACTTTAATTCATTTAGTTTGGATTATACCACAATTCACTTCTAATGTTTAATGCATTATATAATTGCAATAGAAAATTATATCTTACCTTTTTACTAGGATGAGGTCATCCGAAGTAATGTTTTGGCAGTTTCTCGATGTGCTTTTAACCACGCTTTACTGCATATAAATAAGCAAAATTGAATTCTTTATCACTTCATTTCTATACATATATTAATATTATCAATGAAATTTCATGAAAATATATTTTCAAGACCATTTATTTGTTATCGACATATTTTGTCCGTAGAAATATATGTCAGTAAAAAATCATGAATATGATAATAACGAACAGGAACCTAATTAAGGATGTGCTATTGTTTGGTGTAAGTTTTTAAAGTTTTTTCGTCGGACAAAGTAGCATAACTCAGATCTAAATTGTGTGTTGCTACTATGGTTGTTATTCTCTGTTTAAGAGGTATCCAAAATGAAAAAAATTGAAGCAAAAATATTCTAAATCTGTGTGAAGGAACAGAATGATAAATAAAGGCAACAGTAGTATACCGCTTTTCAATAGTCATAAATCGATTAAGCGAAAACAAATCCGGGTCACAAACCAAAACCGAGGGAAACACATCAACTTAAGAGGAAAACAACAGAAACACTCACTTGCAACAAAAACTAACGATAATTTACATAGAAACGGACTATTTGATAACAACTGCCATATTCCTGAATTGGTACGGGACATTTTAAGAAAAAATGGTGGGTTGAACTTGGTTTATGGCTAGCCAATTTGAAACCTACCGCTTATATGGCAATGTTAAAAATACCGCTAAAATGACAACATGTCGTGACAGGAATACAGTACGAATAAACGCAAAAACACTCAGCACAGAGAAATACATAAATGAATAATATTATAGTACATTACAACATGTAAACCACAGAATAACAACAAACACCTCCCATGAATTAACGACAGTATACCAGGACACCACAATATAATTATAAACTGTGCGTCTCACTAATGTATGAATGCCACAAAAAGTGACGTTTTTTTTGTGACGTTTAAATTTCTAAGAATAGAATATAAAATTTGGATTGAGTTTGTAATGGTGTTATTTTATGTATTTTCTAACCATGACAAAAATATTAAAATGGAACTGTGTTTGTAATGGTGTAATTATTTGTATTTTCTAACCATGTCGGGTTTTCTTTTAAATCAAAACGGTGTATAAACAAAAAAATCCTCTGGATATAGTTGCTTAAGAACTAAAAATCATATAGATAAAGTTTGAAAAGCCACTATGTATTTTCGGTTCAGAATGCTTTCTATCAACACCATTTTGCTATTCCTGTTTTAACCTTTGAAGATTGAGTATACTTAATATCTTTTAATACTAAAATCTTACACTAAAAAATAGATTACCATGTTTGTTTTCTAGAAAATGAAGTTTTGCTATTTAGCTGACAGTTTCAGACAAATTTTACATTTTAAAAAAATAGATGGTTTTAATTCATGTTCATCAGGAAATAAAATAAAATTACATGTAAGTAGTCCTGTTTCATTTCAAAACTTGATTAATTTTCTAATAACATGCCAAAATATGTTAACTTTATCGACCTTTTATAAGTTCGTGTAATGTAATTTTCTTATATTTAATAGGACGTGCTTTCATGGTGTTTTTCTCAAATAATAACATAAAGAATATGCGTTACCTTGCTTTTTTCTCTATACCGATGTAATGCAATGGCTGTATGGGAATACAGATATTATAAAGAAAACGCTAAAACTTGTTCTTCAGAATACTTAAAAAAAATAAATATCCATGGAAACATAGTTTTGCTAAATTGTTGCAATTATGTGGTTTCATTTTTGCTCAAAGTAGTTCCGAAATGAATGAATCAGAAGATGAGCATAATACGGCGCCACATGCGTTGCTCTCATGCAATAAAATATCATGAATTTTGTCAAACACGGCATAACTATGTATTTAATTATGAATGAACACATGTTACAACCCAATCCATCCTGGATAAAAATAATCTTTGTAGTTGATTCTTTTCGCATATCCTGATCCTGGCTTGGCTGGCCATTTAAAGTATGACACCCTCCAGCTAACCATCCAGACCACCAACCAAAGCTTCCAACTCTCATGATTAAAATTGAGAATGGAAATGGGGAATATGTCAAAGAAACAACAACCCGACCAAAGAGCAGAAAACAGCCGAAGGCCACCAATGGGTCATCAACACAGCGAGAAAATCCCGCACCCGGAGGCGGGCTTCAGCTGGCCCCTAAATAAAAATGTGTACTAGTTCAGGACGTCATACTAAACTCCAAAACATATAAATGAACTAAAATTAAAAAACATACAAGACTAACAAAATCCTGGCTCCTGACTTGGGACAGGCGCAAAAATGCGGCGAGGTTAAACATGTTTTGTGAGATCTCAACCCTCCCCCTATATCTCTAGTCAATGTAAAATAAACAAACACACATCAATACGCACAGTAAAACTCTGTGAGATCTCAACCCTCCCCCTATATCTCTAGTCAATGTAAAATAAACAAACACACATCAATACGCACAGTAAAACTCTGTTTAAAAGTAGTCCGAGTCCGATGTCAGAAGAGGTAACAAAAGAAACTTAGCAAAATGACAATGATACATAAATTAACAAAGGACTACTAGCAGTTACTGACATGCCAGCTCCAGACTTCAATTAAGCTGATTGAAAGAATATGTCTTCATCATATGCAAATCAAGCACAATCCCTCCCGTTACGGGTTTAGTATCATACCATCATAAAATATATGAGAAGAACATAACCCGTATCATGCCAACAAATGGTTTTAGAACACATGTGTGTATTTCCGATGCAAAGACCCTATGAGTGAATCAATATTAATACCAAAATATGCCATTGTATGGTTGCAAGTTGCCAATGTTACCATGTCGGCAACAGCACTGTGTTGTATAAATTCTACAGATATATTTGAAGGCATATTTCTTTGTGCCCAAGACATGCCATTTGATGCAACAATAAATATGATATTTTGATATCTGTCCTTGAAATAATTGACAGCACTTGTGAGATATTCCAATGATGCAACATTAAAACTATTGTCACCCATATTAACCATATCACCTCTTCGTATATGTAAACCTACTAATGTTATATTAAAGCTAAAAATATTTTCGAATTTATCGAGAATTTTTGCTATATTTTCATTTGCAATTTTCAAAATTTCTTTTCGAAACGTAAGTTGCTCTCTAAGCTGTTTTCAAAAAGGAAAGAAATATTTCCATGATTGTAAGGCATTCTGTACTCTAAAACTTTTTTCTGGATTAAAATTTAAAAGATTATCATCGTATTTAGCTGTAAATTTTTCGATGCGTGTCATAAAACCGTTACAATCGCTTGAATCGTTTCTCACATCAACAGTCAGTTTGAAAACTATGCTAACGTTTACTTTTTCATTTACAAGGATATTCATATTTTTGGACTTGGCTATTCCGAACGTATAAGCAAATTGGAAAATATGATTTCCGAAACCTCCTTTAAAAACAGGACACAATGCACCATTGTTTTTCGGAAAGGAATTAACAAAGATTGCAGAAGGTTCTCCTTTTAAATAAATCGGATATTGTTGTCTACAAAATTTTTACCACTGATACTAAAAATGTATAAGACTACTACAACTACACAACCTGAAAAAAAATTAAGTAAATTTTCACGTTGATATGTAGTTTGCGGAAAGAGGATTGTACTAGTATTTAAATGAATTCTATCAAAAATTGTATTGGTTTGATTTTAGAATGAATTTCATAACAGTATGAACATGGACACCTGATATTTAAATGATATCGTGTCGGTCACTGGCTGTCGACAACAAATACTTCACGCAATTACAGTATGCCAGGGGCCTTTCAATGGGGATATACATAATTACTATTTTACACATTTCCATTCATAAAATCATTTTTTTTGCATGAAAGTTTATAAGAATTTGTTTGGAATAAATTTATATACTGACAGCAAAAAGTTTCTTTTGAAAAAATTCGTATATTCATAGATGATATCACCAAGTAATCGAGAGAGAAAAAAAAAACGTATATCCCCATTGAGAGGCACCTGACATACTGTAATTGTGTGAAGTCTTTATCGACAACCAGTGATAAACACGATAACATTTCCATGTCCACGCTGTTATGAAATTCATTCTATGTGTGCATACTGATAAGCGTCCGATATTTGTAAAAGGTTCATACCATGATTTGATGGATAGTTTCAGTAGGATAGTCATTTAGTAAAAAAATAAACTTATTTGACAAGCAAAAAGTGGAAATGTCCAACGTGACATCTATAATTAAGTTTATACTTTGATTCGAATATTGGAAAGCTAGTGATTGCCAAATGCATCCTCCGTTCCTGTTAATTAATTTTGAAAAAAAGCGATGAAAAATTAGAAACATGTATATTTTAAATAAATTGTATTTCTATAATGAATATTTAGATAAAATATGTTAATATTGTACGGATCTTAAAATGCGACGTGAAAGTGTATGGACTCTCGTTAATGTGTAATATTGAACTTTTAACTGTAAAGAAATAAATAAACGGGTATTCAAATAAGTTTTACTATTCAGTTCTGTCCATTACATTTTTAGTATCTTGTCGCAGATAAAATATTCCAACATAGTCTACTTCTGTACTGTAAGCAAATTTAGTATTACTAACTTGAGACATTTGCATTTGGTATCCTGAAATAATTTTTGCTTTATATTAGAATAGAAATTAATGTTTACAGATAAAAGCAGTCTTCAGAAAGAATATAGTCAAGAGATTTATCTTCTATTCTTCAATGGTCCGTGAGACTTCAATAGTGTTTTCATCAGGCACGAGAACTCAGTTATTTTGTAGTGCATTTCTTAAGACAATAAGTGCAAATTGAGATATATCCTTCCTACATTTTCTTAATAAAATTTTTACTGTGTAGTTTACTACTTTTCGGACAAATTATATCAAAATAGTAGACAAATCTACCTGCTCTAATTCAAAATATGGACAATTTTATGTTTAGGGGTCTATAATTGAGTTTGACGGCTTCAGACATATATATTTTATGTCACGTAAACAAGGGAAAAAGCTTAATTGCTAAGTAAAGTACATCAGAACTTTATTAATATTAGCCATTGCAAAACTTACACACGTAATGCTTTTTGGTCAAGTTCCCACAAAGAATCTGAAACAAACAAACGTATTTTTGAAAGATTCCGCTGTGCATTTTCTTCATTTATGGAAATTGTTTAACGTGTCTGGTATACCAAATTATACCGTATTTGTCGCAACTTTTTTGAAATTTTGGTATTTAATGCTCTACAACTTTGTATTCGATTTGGTCTTTCAGCTGTTTTGATTCGAGCGCCACTGATGAGGTTATGCAAATGAAATGCGCATCTGGCGAGAATAACTATAAGCCTGGTATCTTTGATCAGTTTTTGTACCTTTAAGGCAAAGAACCGTCCAGTTTATTAACATAGTTCCCAAATGAAAGATTGCAAGCCTGAGTTTAAGTTATAAGATATGTATGTTATGGAAGATACGTTAGGACATCGTTACTCCCCAAAAAAGGGGGCTCTCGGGGAATTGTGATATAAGCACAACAGTGCATTTTATCGTAAGCATCATGGACTTTCATTTCATTTTCAAAGTTTTCCCAAACTTTAAATGGTGTACGATTTGTATGTACCTTTCATCCTATACATTTACCGTGACTGGTTATTCTCAGATATTTCTTCCGAGAGCCTCCATTCCAAAATTTATTTTTAAACATGAAACATTTGTAATTTCAACCTTCAACCTTCAACTAAAAGGGTGAAAGGTTTTTGTGTCCCCGAAAAAGATGTTTATAAACTCATTATTAAGACGGTTTGTCAAAAAAATAATTTTGCAAACAATCACTGACGAGGTAGTAATCTCGGAACCGTCGCATACAAGAAGGGGCGAAACCAAACTTACTTTTATAATTACTCAAACCATAACAATCGGGTTCTTAATTAGGAAGAAGTAAATTGCCGAAAATATGAAGCCTAAAATTATCAAAGAAATGATATTAAAATTGAACTAGGAGAGTGAAGTGATATTCCACATGATGTCAGAGTTCAAATATATCAAACAAAAAAAAACCTCTAAAACAGAAGATTATATTACTTGGTTTAAGCTAACATTGACGTTTTTTTTATCAGTTGTTTAAGTATGATAGATTTACGTTATGGCCTTTTGCTGTTTATTGTTTTCATTGTGACTGCAATGGAGTCTTCTACGCTAACCATTGGATAATATCAGTATGTGCGGAATATACAGGTAAATACAAAGATTGGTATGTGTTTCTTAAAGTCCATGAATGTCTCCTAAAAGTTATTGTAGTTCTCCTTCTAACTGTCACTTGCTTGTTCGTTATGAGCTATACAGTTGTGAAGAGCTTATATGGATGGTACTATAGATTGCAATTTCTGTAAACAGAACTATCAGCTGGTTAACGAATATAAAACTAAACTTCCGGTGTCAATCGGGGTCAGTCGAATATAAACAAAATACATCCGCTGCAAACCAAACCTAACTAAACTGAAGATGATGCTATCGATGAGTGATCAGCATATGGGATTGGATTGCTAGAAGGGCTTATGTTATGTTTCTGACTACTCCTTATGCTTATCCATGTGAGAAAAGAACTAATTTACCTCAAAGTATATTATATTTTGAAAATATACCTAGCTAGTAGGCCTGAAAGTGAGGAATACAATTATCATTTGTTATAATGCATTTCTCCGCTATGATATTACACATATTACTGATCATTACTATTTTACGTTTTGACTGAGTGAGGATTCGCATGACGGATGATGCATGCATATCATAAGATGCGTACCCTGTCGATCCACACCGTCTAGCTTCTTTTTGAGTTCATGCGATTCCCCCACTTTGTGTGTTTTACCTTGAGTTGTCTTCTTAATCGATTAAGAAGCTTTGAACATCGGTAAACGACTGTTGTCTATATTACGTATTTGACTGAACTTGACCGTTTGTATTATTATAAAGTGTAAACGGTTATAGAATAAAGTTTTTGCAAAATCTGGAATTATTTTATGCTTGCAAAAATTGAACTTCAAAAAAGTGTCCTCGGACGTGGATGAGATTTTCACTTTGAGAAGCCGTTTCACAAAGGACTTTTCGGGGTTTGCTAAATTGACGAAAATTCAATCTCATAAGGTACACCAAAAATCGAACCTCGTACGTGAAGATGTCTCAAAGCATTTCTTAGTTTACAGATTGACATAAGTATTGTAGAGCACTTTAATAAACTATTAGAATTCAGATCTCTAGGGTTTAGTTAAGCACTTACCATCCAATAAATTTTTTTTTCACTATAAAAACTGACATAGACGAGGAGTTTGTATAATTAAAGAATTTATGTCATACATGGGAAATACATTCTAGCTCAATGTTGACTTAGAAATATCCAAAGCAGAACTAAAATCGATTTCTGGTGTGTAATTGTACACACAAATTTTTATATTCTCGACATTTAAGTTTATTATAGAAGTAAACGCCTTTTTAAATAAATTTATTTGTGTATAAACTGCAACTGACTAAAGTTGTCGTCAATTTATTTCCCAGGGAAACCATATAAGAAAAATTTCCCTGGGAAACTATTAGATTTCTGGTACAAAATAGCGGAAATACTTACACGTAATTTTTTTTTTTTTTGGGAAACCATTTATAAATACCACTTGAATATGTATAGTTTCCCAGGGAAATATTTTTCTTATCTAATTACTAAGGAAGTTATTCATTTTCATAAAAAAAAATAATCCTATATGAGATATTCCTTTTTGTATCACTGATTGTTCGTGTTATCCTCTGAAATTAAACTTTTACGGTAGAGATGATTTCATTAAGTAGTTTTGAATCATGTTCAGAAATCTATGCATTTTTCTTACATTGTATATGGAGGAAAGTCGAATTTTTATTGGTTTCCCACACAAAGCACGTTCTATTTGGAAATTAGTCCTTTTCTCAACAACAAAGAAGTAGTTTATTGGTGTATATTTTTTTCAAAAGTGTCTTTTACCTATTTCCAGTTCGTTATAAAATTCATCTCTTTGTATCCCTCTGAAATGATGGGAAACTAGTCAGTCAGAGATAATCGACGAACATGTATTATTTTCCAGGGAAGTTTGTTACCTGGGGAAACTAGTCAGGGGTAATAGATTAAAATGTATTGTTTCAAATGTTTTTGTTGTCTGTTTCTTGGGGAAATTATACATTTTCTACTATTATCCATGTATAACTCCCTTTGATACAGTAACAAACACGATTCCTTTGGAAACAATATATATTCATCCATCATCCCTGACTAGTTTCTCCAGGAAACCACCTAAAAAATATCCCTGGGAAACAAAACATATTCATCTATTTCAGGTTCCCCAGGAAACAATCCACCAAAAACACATTTACTTTGGACCGGTTAAATTTTCATCTCTTGTCCCTGACAAGTTTCCCCGGGATACTAAAATGTAATCAAACACATTTCCTTGAGAAACTTTGCATGTTCATTTTTTTATTAATGAATACATTCTCAAGAAAAAACAACGC